AAGAGTAGGAGGAGTGAAGTCGTGTTTCAGAAAGATGGAAAGGGGTTTGAATGATGCCTATTATGTAAATGACAAGTCTGGAGAGGCAAGCTTAGGGCCAGATCTTAAAGACCTTGTGTTAAGTTGGTAAGATCTTAAAAATTGCTATGAAGCTGTTGAACTGTTTAAAAAGACGAGAATGACATTTAAAAATTGCACAATTAGAATTGTGTCATTCTTAAGATCACTCTGGCTGAAAGCAGAGTAGGAAAATGGAGGAAAGAAAAAACAAGGCAGGAAGGAAGACCCTCAAGTCATCTCAAAATTCTTTTAGGTTACTCTCTCTATTTTCTTTTAGATAAATTTCCTATTTTTTAACTAGTTAATCCTATCACCTATGAGAAAATCTAGGTTGACCATCAAGGCTTTTTACATCTGCCTTATATCTAGCCTTTTCGTCTCGCTTTGTCTTGTATCCCTCAATTTGGTCTCCTCTAGACAAACTGATCTATTCACTATGCCTCCAGACATTCCAGATTTACCCTCCATGTAACTATTCATGCTACTTTCTATTTTTGGAATAATGCTTGGAATAATGCTTTTGCTTCTTTCAACTTTCAAATCCTTCCTATCTCAGAACCCAATTCAAATTTCATCTTACGTCAACTGAAAATGAAGATTTCCATTTTTTCCCTTAATGCCTATAGGGCTGTTTTATACTTTCAATGTTTAATTACACACTACCTTTTATTGTTTATCTAGCATGATTGCAGGTGCAGGAGGGCAGTTCTGAGTTTTATGATTACCTGAATCTTTAAAAGCTTCAAGCAGTTCTTAATATACTCAATAAACACTTAATGAATAAGTGAAAAACTGCTCTTTAAAATGGGTGAGACCACATCTTTTAAAATTATACACATTCTTTAATAACTTATGAGCACCAGAATACCTAACCAATTCTATCTAGCTGACTTGACATTTTTTTTATGATTTTCATTTTACAAAAATAAGTGAAAGGCCAAGGCTATGGTAATGAAACAAGCTCTTCCTGTACTAGTTCTATTAAAAATGTTCTCAGTTAAAAGATCTGGTATCTTTGGACTTTCTGGAGAAGTTTCTAAAGAAGCTGGTTGCTATAGGGATTATGAAGAGAAAAAAAATTTTTAAATGACCAATTTATGCAAATGAAGCCACCATGTCTAAACCTGGAAGACATTTGTGAGGGATGGATGAGGGTCTCAGAAAGAAAAAGAATGTGGAAATGAGTGTTAGGGAAATATGTGATTGTGGAAGTCAAGCCACAGCTAAGGTGGGTGTTTATTTTCCCCAAGGATAAATTGTGTTTACTAATAATAGCAAAAGAAAGATCTTAAATCAGAGGGCTGGAGAAACAAAACAATTTTCTCTTTTATGTATGACAAGTTCTTAGTCATAAAAAAGGAGAGATAAGTTATAGAAATCAAAGCCAGTAGTTAAAAAGGCTGCTGGAACTTTGAACTAAGCCAAACTAGTGGCTCTCACTGTTGTGTATCCTTCTACATAAGAATATGAGTCCCACCATTACAAAAATAAAAAGCCCATTATTTTTATTATAAGGACAGTTATGTGATTGTAGCTATTGTTATTTGTAGTAAGTTTTGCAGACATCAAAATGTATTTGACTTTTTGGAGAAAAATTTCCTGTTACAGCTTTAAAATAGAAACAAAACCCTGCTTTTCTAGATTACTACCTGTTTGCTGTATGCCTGAAAAATCAACAGCAGGTGGATTCAGCCTTTGCCAGATGGTGTAGGTTGGTGGAGAGTGAATTCTTAATTCTGATGCTGGTTCTGAGTCCTTGTCTGGTGTTCTTGCCACAGTTGAAAATTTCTGGCCCAGAGGGCATGGACAAGTCTGGGCAGAGATTTTTGTGACAAAATGAACAATTAAATGAAGATTCTCTTTTTGATTCCCTGTAAGATATAAAAGGGGAAGAGAACTAATAACAATGTTTTGTG